GTGAACATGATGTTACTGTAGTTCTAGACTAAATGTGAATGTGCATTAATTCATCCCGCTCACAAAAAACAGATTTAGTATTCATCAAAATGAATTTAAACTCAGAATATGACGCAAACCTGCAATAATTAAATATGTTAAATAAGACAAATATTATTTATGTATTTAATCCCATTTTATTAGCCAATGTCTTTGCTAATGACCTTCGATGATCCAATTCAACCATACTAAGCAAAAATGACGCATTTGTGTTTCATTTGTGTTATTGCTGAATAGTGTTGAACTTTCTTCTCCTGCGTCATATTCTTCATGCAATTTGTTTGAGCGGCGCCCTCTACTGTACAGACGTGAATTTACTTTTCCTTCAGCCTGAGGCGTATTCATTTCACTTCTGTTGTGAAAGGGCTTTTACATACTTTTTTTATATTAAAAGCAAACAAGCAAGCCCTGCCCAGATTTCAAAAGTAACTCAAAAGTAATGCAACGCATTACGTTCCATAAAAAGTAACTAAGTAACATAATTAGTTACTTTTTTAGGGAGTAACGCAATATTGTAATGCATTACTTTTAAAAGTAACTTTCCCCAACACTGTATGTATATATGTGTTCCCCCAACACTAACTAATATATATATATATATATGCAAACACCACAAAAAAATCAGACCTGTACGATATAAACTCAGAATTGCAAGAATAAAAGTCAGAATTGTGAGATAAAAAGTTGCAATTACCTTTATATATTTTTTTTCTTCTGTGGCAGAAACGGTCTTATACAGACATGCACTCTCTGATGAATTTAAAGTTCTGTTTCTGTAACATACAGTATGTTGTTTACATTGTACAGCTGGTTTATTTTAAGATGATTTATAATAACTCATTAAGGACGAAATGCAAAACAATTTTATGACACCGTTGCAACTATAAGATTAATGAATTATATTTGCTATTTTTATATTTTGAAATAAAGGCTTGATGCAGCGCTAGATGGTGCTGCTGAGTGATGAATACAGCACAAGATCAAGATCACTCAGTCGCATCATTTCGGTTTAAATATCTAGTTAAAACAATCTGAAATTTTAGTAATTTTTCTGAATTCTGTCCTACAAATTAATTACAGTATCACCATATTTCTTTATTTTATTTATTGATTTATTTTTGTTAATTTATTTTGACTTAAAAAAAAATTTTTTTTTTTTGATAGTCTGAAATTCCTGGCACAAACTGAGAAGTGTGACATCTAGTCCTGGTCTCCCTTATATTATCCTGAGTGCCTATTATGTAATCCTGGTCCAGAACCCTAGTTGTGTAACATTTCGTGGATTTGAAGCTTTATTCTCAATCCCTGTGAAGAGATGCATCGCTGCAGGACACACAGACCTCAGAGCTGCTGTTTATTTACTCATCTTTCCTGCATTCCAGCATTAACAGGCTTCATCTTGATTACTGTGAAAGGAAACAGCTATTCCCTGTGAGAGAAACATTATCCAGCCTACTGAAAACATCCTCTTCCTGCATTTTCACTCATTTGAATGTTTGTATGTAAGCATGTTTAGTGTCAATCGTAATGCATTTTTTGGACTCTTCCATTCTATGACATTGTGAATAATTAATTACTTTTTAGATAGTAAAAATTATGTTAAGTGGTGTAACAGGGTTGACGATCATAATATAAGCAATTGGACATGACAATATGTGACCCTGGACCACAAAACCAGTCATAAGGGTAAATTATATAAATGAAGCTTTGATATATTTACGGTAGGAAATTTACAAAATATCTTCATGAAACATGATCTTTAATATCCTAATGATTTTTGGCATAAAAGAAAAATCGATCATTTTGACCCATACAATGTATTTTTGGCTATTGCTACAAATATACCCGTGCTACTTATTTTATTATTTATTTATTTTTTGTAGTTGGTGTTTTTAAATATATATTAGCTAGCTCATAGTAAAACGTTGTTGTTTATTAATAAACTATTTGTTCTCATGTGAACTCTCATTTGTAAGTCGCTTTGGAAAAAGCGTCTGCTAAATGACTAAATAAAAATAAATAAATAAACTCAAGCGGGCAGCCAATCACCGCGCGGCGTCGGATCGTCCTCATCGCGCGCTCAGCAGCACAGCGCACATTCACGCGCGGATCGCAGCGAGCGTCGCGTCGCGCCGCGCCTCTCATTCCCGCGGATGTCTAATATAAACATGTTCCTCTAGATACTGACAGAAAGAAGAAAACGACAGAGGCGTCATTCAGGTAAGACTGTGTTTTGTCCGTTACAGCGGCGCGTTGCCCTCATATCGTCCGATCAATCGCGTCTGAAGCTGAAATATTGCGTGATTGATCACGAGCGCGTTTATGTATTTGTCATTTTACCTCAAAAACAAAACGAGCAGATTTTTGCGCTTGATTATTGATGGTTGTCACGGAAGTCGGTTTGATTTACTTTCATTTTTGCTTCGTTGCGTAATTCCGTGCTGGTTTTGTTGTGTTTGTCAGTATTGTCGCACACAGCGTTCATGACAATAACAAGGATCACGTGTTTCTTCGTGATGCTCTGCTGAGTTTATATAACGCCTGTGTGATGCTGCTAATGTATAGAGCGATTACATAAATACCGGCGGAGAGGAACCAACAAGATCCACGTTTAAAATACATAAATCAAAATACAGATGATTATCTATCGATCGATCGATTGATCTCTATCTATCTATCTATACGTCCATCCATCATCTATCTATATCCATCCATCCATCTATATGTCTATCTATCCATTCATCTGTTCATCCATTTATCTATATGTCTATCCATCTATACTTCCATCCATCTGTCTATCTTTCCATCTATACATCCATCCATCCATCTATATGTCTGTCTATCCATTCATACGTCT